TATATATATATATATATTTCTCTCATGCACCAAAACTAAAATAAAACACTCTTGAGGTTTTTATTCTGATTTTAAATGTTCTTCAAGCTTTATATTAACATTGGATCAATTTCTAAAATATTTGAACAAAAAATATAATAGTATTATAAAGACATAAGAATCATAGTTTAATTTATTAAATTTAGATTAAATTACTCTCTAGGTCTCGGTAATTTTATAAAATGATCTTCATAATTTTTCTATAAAAAAAAAGTTTTCATAATTTTATAAGCCCTTGTAATTTATTTATTTTAATAGAAATCCTACATTTTTAAATAACTCATTTAAATTTTTCATTGTAATTTCTATGGATAAAAAATAAAATATCTCATAACCTTGTTGTTTTTGATTAAAATATTATTCGAACATTTAAATATGTCTCTTATTATTTTTTATTTTTGTCCCTCCTTTAAGTTATGTGTAATATAATTTTTATTTATATTCTAAATAAAATATTAACCTAATAATTTTAATTAGTGTTTTAGGCTAGAGTTTAAGGGTGTAGTTTATCCTCCACTTTCAACTTTATTAACTCCTTTTTCATTTTTGCGTGTTATTTTAATGTTTATCATCATTACTACTATATATGTAAGCATCACATTCAGAATGAATCATGACATTTTATGAGCTTTAGATAAAACGATAAATATGAACTTTATATATATATATATATATATATATTAAATATAAACTTTTATAACATAAAAATATATAAGATATTGTGATTTACTTAAATCCCTAAACTTTTTTGAAAAATTTTATTTAGGTTCTTAAATTAAAAAATTGTAATTGAATCTTTCGTCTTTTTATATTTTTATAATTTAGTTTGTGAGGTTAGAGATTTTTTTATTATTTGTGAAATTTAACAAAATATTCCTTATATCTATGTATTTGAATAAATATGTTATATTATTATTTTATATCATCATTCATGTGTATTATGTTTCAATCTCTACTTAAAATATCCTACTATTTCATTCATAATTCTTATAATTAAAGATATTATAATAATTTTTACTAGTAGATTAAAACATGCTACACAAGGATGATGATAAATGAAATAGTAATATGATGTGGTTATGTATGTTTGATATAACAAGTATAATTATAATTTTTTAAAATAAATTTCTAACCTAAATTACAAAGATATAAAAAGTTGAAAGATTCAATTACAATTTTTTTAGTTTAGGGTCTAATTAAAGATTCCTAAAATGATTAGATTTCAAATGATGTATTAAATTTTTAATTAAAAATGACATATTTTATTACATTAAAGAAATCAATGTTAACAAATCTCAAAAAAGTATACTATATTTTTCATTCAGTTTATTTTTATTTTATCGTTTATTATAAAGTGTTATATAAATAATTTTGAATAGTAAAAGTGGTACATTACCAAATTAGAAGGACCACAATAAGATAAATATTTTTTTGAGAGACTAAAACTAAACTTTAAAAAAATTTATTTGACCAAAATTATATTTCATCCTTTTTCGAATATAATATATAAAAAAATCAACAATAAAAGTAATAAGAATTTATAATCATATCACATTTTAATATTTAAATATGAAAATAATTTAAATTTATTTTAATATAATATAAAATTATAATTCAATTATATTTTTAAAAAGAAAAGAGAGAGAGAGAGAGTTGAAACCTCTCTTATTTACACATCCAAATAACTCGGACTGCCTTCATCACATTAACAAGTTTCATTGTCATATGTTATGTCATCATCTCGTGTCATGTTATGACTAAGAAAGAGTAAATAAGAAGAAAATTGGAAGACAAAACTAACCTATACTCATAATTTGTGAAATTAATTTGGTATAAGAGAATAAACGCGTTGGTGTCTCTTGAAAGTGTGGCTCAAAATAGAATGATGATAAGCTTTTCCTTTTAGTTCAAAATGGAATCATCTTTTCATATCTTGTACGTCTCAATCTGAAATAACCGAATAAATCTATCATTGCTTTTAAATTTTGGATAAGGTAATTATTGGGAGAACTTTTAGTTTGAAACAGTGCCGAAAGATTTGTTTTATGACCATACTTGTACGAAAACCCTTCAAAGGGATTATACAAAATAAAACGAATGAATACATAGCATTTTTTAATAAAGAGTTATTTTAGAAATATCATATCAACTCTATGTATCCTAGAATTTTCACTAATTAAACAATATTTTAATACTGATGAGAATTGATCTTGAAAATATCAAGTTCACCTTTCATATCTTATAACATATATATGTCTTAAAAATTATAACTACTAAAATAAAAGATTAGTTATATTACAATAGTTAATAATATCCATTAAATAAATGAGACAAAAAGTTATTGAATAAACATTTACATGTCATTATTTGATTGAAAAACAGAATGTAATGAATATAAAAGGTTTTTTCCTTTAATGCACAGCAAAATATCTGAAGTTCTTCATTTCACATATGTTCACTCTCAATTTACACTAACGTTTGGTTAAATGTGTATATAGATTCTGAGTTCTGTTCTTGTTCACTATTAATTAATTAATTTGTTAGGGTTGAGTACGCATTGTATTCACCTTAATATTATTTATTTTCTTCTGCAATTAATTATACCCCTTTCATAAATTAACAACGACTCTATATAAGACTGAAAAGTGAAAGCCCTATAAAAAAGTATAATAACAAATTAATTAATTAATGGTATTGAACTTGAATCTGTTAACTCAAGGTACATATGCAAGTCCAAAATCCAAAATTAATCAAACATATCCGCAGATACTTTGTTATATGTATTAAAAGAAAATTACGTCTTTTTTACTTTCAAATATTAATTGTAATTGCATATTCTAACAAGCAAGTATATACGTCAATCATTGAGTTCTCAACTAAACTTGGTCCTCGATTTACAAAAGTAGAGGTAAAGTAAATTAATGTCACTGATAATAAAAAAAGTAAATTAATGAATCTCAACATTCCACTCTTAAACATATATATTACAATATTCGGGATAAAAATAAATAAATGAACAAAAGAATTCAATGCCTATATAAATCAATAACATTAAATTGTTCACTAATTTTGCAATACCACAGCCTCTACACATTAAAATACTATTGATAAAAATAAAATAAAGAATTAACAAAAGAATTCAATACCACAAACCAATAATCTTGGATTGTTTAACTAATTTTGCAATACCAAAGCCTCTACACCAAGAAAGAGGGAAATCATTTACAAGCGACTTGAATCGGGTCAAGATTTTAAATTGTGGTTGCAATAACACGATTGGAAGATTTTGAGCTTTGATCTGACCACTCCATAAACTAAAATTGTTTTTAGTTTATGGTTGAGACCACAATTTAAAACCTTAAAGATAGTTGATGACTTAACTTTGAAGGGATGGTGATTTAGGACCCTTTGGAGAAGGAGAGGGTTCCCCTTCGGGGGGAAAATCAGAGATCAAAGCCAGCATCCTGCGAATGCTCACTGATCGTGCAGGCCTGAAGCTGTTGGATCTCTTGATGTTCTTGGAGAAGATGTTTGATGAATTGGAAAGAATAAGGTACACCAAGGCTTGAACTAGTATGAACACCCCAACCTTAATCAACATGTCTCCTAAGCTGCTTTCCATCTTCACAAGTCTTGTGCTAATACAAATAACGTAACACCCTTGTATGAATAATTTGTTGATTTGATTGTTTGATGAACGAAGTGAATGAATTGATGAGAGAAGTGGCATGCACACGTCCTTTTATAGTTGTGTACGCGTTAAAGGACATGTTGGACCAACCATTGGAAAAGTAAAGTATGAAATAGCTTGCGGTTTTGACCTAGTATTATTTCACGTTGGAAATGTAGGGGTTGAGGTGGAATTTTCGTTGTTATCCAGAAAGAAACGTGTGTGAATACGTGTTAAGAGTGTATGGGTATTAAAGTAGCAATATTTCAAGGGATAAGCCAATGAACGAGGATTGCATGTTGACCCATTAGGATAATAATTAAGTTGGTGGAAGATTCTTGAGGAAATATAAATTTGCATTGGTCAATTTAGGGACTCTTAATGGAAGGTGCATGGTGATGATTCATCAGCTATATCTTCTTTAGCCTCCTTGCTTAGTTTAATTATTTAATTAGTTTGTCTTCTACGCAAACGAAATTTCTTCTTACCTTGCTTAGCCATCGGGTGGTGACAACAGAGATTTTTGATTTTCGACACGTGCCCTCGTGGGACATCATGTGGTGTTATTCTTTCATTAATTTAAATTTATTTCTGCAAACTGCTATCTTATTTTATACTTTTATTTTTTGAAAAAAAGTAAGAAAGAAAAAATTAATGAGAAATATTCTCCCCATTGTCTGGTACTTGTCACATGTTAATGTTACTAATCCACTTTTTTTGTTTTGTTTTTTTCCGTCCCTTTCGCTTGCTTTCTGTTATTTATTTATTTTTTATTTCTGTTTCTTTTGCCTTTTCTGTCACTGTGCTAATGCTATGCTTGGAGTTTGGTTCAATACATTCGATATAAGCTATTATTTTGCGTGTTTGGAACCAATTATGTAACACCAATCAACACTCTATGTTTAGAAGTAACAAGTAGCTTGCTTCTGCGTCATATGGGTCTAATGGCGTGATTTTATGGTAAACGCGTAAATGAAAGTTTATTAGATAGTGTAGGACTATTAATAAGTGTTGATAGTATCAATCAATTACTATATAACATGAATTTAAGTTTTTGAATCTATTAGAAATAGCAAGAGACGAAATACATGTTAAGTAAATGTTTGCATGAAGGGGTGTATTTTTAATAAAAGAAAATGTGGATGGATAGATAGATTGTTAAGAATCAAGTGTTGATTGAAGGGAAGTAGCTTGACTTGCACCACACGAGAGCCACCTGATTGCGTTTCAAAGAACAAGATCCAAACCTTGTACGTGTCTTGTGATGATCATGTTGGGATCCCTTTGAAGAGATGTGATCCCTGATGAATCGTTTTTGGTGATTGCAAATGGTTCTTGAGAGTTATGATATGTCATATGTGTGGGACATGGATCATGGCCCAAAGGTTGTTCAGAAAATGCAACTCATCAATGCCTTGCCGACCTAAACAAGTACCTTTCCTGGTTAAGCTATTAATGCCTCATAAATTTTAATATTAAAGATGATATAAATTATAGTTCGTACTGTTACTGTACTGTCCCTATTCAATTTAATGTCCTATGTTCAATTCAAAAGATATGTTCTTCAGCAAATATATGTTAATAATACAACTTTCTAATTTAATACATGATAATAATTTGTATAATATAATATTATATTTATATTATTTATCTGTGAATATTTATATCAGATATACCTTAACCATTTGTTGCATAATATCATTATACCAAAAAACCAAATTAACCCAATCTTATCTCATTTTGTATATAATCAAGTAATGATAGCAAACAATTAAGTTCAAATAAATCTCGAGTCCAAAATACAGATAAATCTTACCTAATCGCGTCACATACGTGTGAGGTCAAGGCCAATAGGGTTAGAATATTAAGGATATTGAATATGTTTGGACAAATTTCTTTACAAATATTTCTACAAAAGGAGAATAAGAAAAAATATAATAAATCTCTTCAAAAACACTTGCAAGATTAAAATAAATTTCTCTATAAAATAAAACTAATTATTTTAATATATTAAAATAAACTTTTGATAAAACTAATATAAAATTACTTGGCAAATTAATTTATACATAAACTAATTTAATTTTTAGAAAATTTACTTTATTTTTTCTTTTTATTTTCTTTTTCTATAAATATTTATGGAAAATTAATCAAAATATGTCCGTTGTGCATTTTCTCCTTACACTGATTGGAAAAAGTAACATTAAAGACTGTTTTTAAAAATAAAAAAAAAACAAAAAAAAAACTGCTCATTTGATTTGCGATATTTACGGTTACCCGAGAAGAAAAAAAAAATCAAAGTCAATCACAATCATTTGGGATAACAGTTGAGGTTTAGTTAATAAGTGATTATATAATTAACCAGCTGCATTTATTCCTTAAGTAGAGATCAGAATTAAGAACACAGCTCACATCACAACAAAACACATGCATTTTAAGGCTCTTCCATGGTACACAGCCACACTCAGATGATTCAATCCCTCAACAATCTCGTATGTAACTAGAACAACATTGGCGGGAAATAACAACATAACTGTAAAGCCAGAATAAAAAATGGTGAAAAATATCATTCAGTGGAAAGGATCCACTTTAGCAACTCATACACAGCATAACAGAAAGCTAAATTTTACAGAAGACTTTATTGCCTAAAATGGAAGGGAATTTGAGCTAAGGAAATCCAGTTCCAAGGAGAAACATAGAGTGGAAAATGAGAAGGGAAATGCAACTCGTGCTTTCCCTCAATTTATTGTATTTTTGGCTATATCACTACAACTACCTAGTTGGAGTTCCCCAAAAAAGGAGGGAAAGAACAGAAGCAGCATAATCGTCGGTGCAGATTTACACTTGATAAGACGATCTATGGTGATACAACTTCAACATTGTTTTAGTACACTATATACCTGCAATCACATATCAGAACACCACCATTAGTTCATAAATTGAGATTCTTACGAAATAGAAATAGATGGCTAATAACGGCAGAGTAGGCTTATTATCCCCAATGAATTATTAGTACTGACTATCCTGCAGCAAATAGAAAATGGTTACAGTTGTTGAACCAAATAGCATTTGTCATAGTTGAAAAACACATACTTAGTGCGCATGAAAAAACTTGTTAATAGTTCATTCAAACTTATCTTAAAATATAAGCATTTGTGTAAGCATTTGGAAGAGTTTATAAAAATAACTTTAAGATTTTCCGGTATGCTGTTATTAACTTATTTCAACAAGCTTTCCAAGATAGCATATGAACAGTTTAATCATATTAAGGTTCTATTTGGACAAACTTTTGTACAAGTACTTCTAGAAAAGAAAATAAGAAAGTAAATCAAATTGAACTTCTTGTTTAACTTTTATAGAAATTATGCATTTAACTTCTCCAATAGCTAAGGTGCACAAGTTTGCTCAATGCATTTTATCTTCATTTTTTTTCATCTCTAATGAATGTTTATTAAGAAGTTTCTTCAAATTGAGCCATATACTTCAACTATAAAAACAACTTATATATAAGTACTTTCATGATAAACACTCATTCATTAAGCTCTTAATTAAACTACTCACCCAAAGTTCCAAACACACCCTAGTGCATAAACAACACATCTCATACAATCGGTTATGGCCTCCTAACTCAAACCCCCCAACCCAATAGGAAAAAACAATAAAGAAAGACAGAAAAACAGCTTGAAATGCAGAATTTAAACATTGAAATTCAAAGATCCAAGCCAGAAAATCAATTAGGAGAGATCACACTGCAGACAGAAAATTAAGCAAACGAAACGAAAAGAAAAGTCGAGGGTCATAATTGACCTCATCCTGCATCCAAAACTCCAACCTCTGAGGAATTGGAAAGAGAATAGAAGGAGAGAGCACCTTATAGGGCGGCGCGAGGGTCGTCGCCTTGGATGAGCGCGTGGCGCGAGGCAATGTGGCTGAGAGTGGTCCTGAGGCCGAAGAAGTCGTCCTCCGTGAGGTCGGTGAGGCGCGCAATGAGGTCCCTCCGGATCTCCGTGACGACGGCGTTATCCTCATCGTGATCGTGATCCTGAAGCGGTTGGTGGTCTTCGTGGAGGCGGAACCTGCAGAGGGGGCAGGAGGCGTGGAGGCGGAGCCAGGGCGTGATGCAGTCGGCGTGGTACAGGTGCTTGCAGGGGAGCTGCTTCGCCTCCGCCTCGAGCCCCATTGGCTCCTTGCAAACGGCGCAGAGGACGACGCCGTTTGGGTCCAGCTCCGAGAGGAGGGAGGCCGTGACGGAGATGGAGGGAATGGGAGGGGGCTTTGACGGGAGGGGCTTGGGGGAGAGGAGTAAGAGGGCGTCCTGGAAAACGACGTCGAAGAGGGGGGATTCCGCGTCGTTTAGGGAGAGGGGGGAGTCCATGAGTTCCAGGAAGTGGGTGTGGCAGTGGGGGCAGAGGAGAGGGGACGGAGGGAGCGTTAGGGACACGCTCATGTCGCATTCGTGGCACCAGTACGTTTTTGCTTCCGCCATCGCTGCTGCTGCTGCTGCTGCTGCTGCTGGCGGAAGAGAAATGAATAATGAAATGAGGGTTGGGTTTGGGTGGGTGAAATGGGGATTAAGAGAGGGGAAGGAAGGTGGGGCCCGCACCGACCTCGATGGTTCGTTTCTCTATCGCTTTTTTTCCTTTTTTTGTTTCCTATCATTTGCTACCTTCTGCAACGCAACGTTTTAACTATAATGTCTTTTTCTTTCTTATTTTTCTATATTTTCACTAATGTGTAAGAGTGATACCACCGTCGCTTTGGCCGAGTGGTTAAGGCGTGTGCCTGCTAAGTACATGGGGTTTCCCCGCGAGAGTTCGAATCTCTCAGGCGACGACGTAAATTTTTTAATTTAATAATAATTACTATATATAAAACAAATATTTCTCTTCATAATATTTTTTGTCTTTACTTTTTATTATAATATTATACCCTCTAATTATTATAAAAAAAAATATTTTTAATCCTTCACATTACACTTCTTCTCTCACTGGAAATCAACTAACTTATTTTTATTTACTTTTATTTTTTTTAAAAAAATAGTGAGACACCAAATATCTATTTTCACTCATCTTTAATCAATAATCTATATAAAAAAATAAAATAAAAATATTATTTTTTATTTTCACCTTTTTAAGGACATATTTATTCCTTCGTAATTATAACTTTTACTTATTTATTTATTAATACCTTGTTTATCGTTCTAACACAATTTTTCTTTAAATAAAATTACCCTTAATGTATAAATACAATAATTTAAATCTAGTCAACTCTTTTTATATTATTACTCAATACGTGTATTAAATTAAGTTCATTTTTAATATATATAAAGGTACAAAATGTCTCAATAATATTAGTTTATATAATCGTAACTTATTTGAATAGAAATGATCATAAAAGTTATTTAAAATAATATTTTTATTAATTAATATTGTAAAAAAAATGTAAAGTGATAATATATGTTTATTAAGCTTTTATATTGGGTATGTCATTTTAGAAGGGAAAAAAAATGTTAGATAATGGCTGCAAAGGGTTGTTGATGTTTTGATTTTTTTTTTTTTATGACTAATTTTGAAAAGAATGACCCATGGTGGAAAGATTCAGCTTCTGGTCATTTAATTAATCAATTTGTACTTCTCTTCTAAATTGATTTGTAATTTCATTAAATAAACTCAGTGTATATATTATTATGTTTTGTTTTAGAGGCTTGCACAAGTGCTGTGGTGTAAACAGATAGAATGTGTTGATTAATTTATTTGATGAATTAAACTAATGACCGAAAGCATGGAGACTCTATCCCGAGTCATTTTATTTAAATTTCCACTTTAAAATAATACAGTTCCTAATACTTTCGGTAAGAAAATATTAATACAGTCACTTTAGGACAAGTTGCGTTTTCTTTAAAATTAATGATTTTAGTCACACATCAAAGGTTTCAATCACTTAGTAAAAATTCTTAAATACGCAAAATGAATAGTACTAACTAATTGCTTCTTTAATCACCACATACTGCGTTTTATTTTAACAAAAAGACTAAACACGTTGTTTCCTTGTGGTTTTGGGATGCAAGAGAAAAATAGATATCTTCATCCAAAAGTTTTAACTTTTAAGAAAGCTTCTCTCATTTCAATTTAAGTTTCTCTTTAAACTATGAAATTTGTTTCTTTATCGATAAAAATATAAATAGAAAATTGTACCGTCCCGGTTAGGATTCGATCTGATCCGTCTATATGGGTCCACTTGGTTAGAATCCGATCTGACCTCTTTACATGGGTTCATTCTGTCAAAATCCGATCTGACCTCTCTACATGGGTCCACTCGGTCAGAATCTGATATGACCCCTTTACATGGGTGAACTCGGTCAAAATTCGATCTGACCTTTTGCACAGGTGCGTTATCTCGGTCAGAATCCGATCCAACCTTCCCGCATAGACCCTGATCCGATATCAAGGACAAAATCCCACCTTTAATTACCAAATATCTTTCAAATAAAAATGGTCATGAAAATCTCCGCGTTCACGGGACCCATGAGGCCCATGAACAAGAAAGTATAAGACCTAAAACCCTAGTGCTTAGGGGACAGATTACACTCTTGAATGCTCTGGCTTTGGAGGTTTTGACCTAGGAAAAGAACCCCAGACGCCCCCTTGGCCGGAACATTTTGGCGCCTACCGTGGGGCTACGATGAAACTTTTCCTACATCCCAAGAAATACAAGGAACTTGAAGAACAAAAAGCTACGTAAAATGGCGAGAGGCGACGCACCAAACCACGACCCACAACACCCTACAATGGAGGAGATGATGGCATTGATCAACAACTTAAGAGAGGAAAATGCGCGATCTAGAGAAAGGGAGGAGGCCATTTAGTGAGAGAACGAGAAAATCAGATGACGAGCCGATGAGATGTAGGCCATGATGGCAGCTAATATCAGAACGACGGAGGAAGATGTGATGACGGAAGTCTTAAGGGACTTTCGACCTTTCTCGAAGGCTATAGAGGCTGAGACCATCCCGAGGGACCACCGGGTCCCCCAGGTGGAACCTTTTGATGGAACCCAGGATCCTAGTCAACACTTGACTGATTTTTGTGCTCAAATGTTGATTTGCGGAGGGAGTATGGAAATCCACTGCAAACTATTCATGGGAACTCTCAAAAAGGCGGCTCTAGATTGGTTTAGCGGTCTTCCTGACCGATCAATCACCAACTTTGATGTTTTCAGTCGGCTTTTCATGGCACAATTTGCGGCAACTAAGAGGAAACCACCGATCACGTCAGATTTGTTCGATCTTAAGCAGCAACGTCAGAAGCCGTTGAAGGACTTTTTGGAAAGGTTTAATTAAGTGGTTTTGAGGATAACATCCTTGGACGAGAAGATGGCGGTCATAGCCTTTCAAAAGGGACTAAGGTCTGGTGATTTCGACATCGCACTGGAAAGAGCAAATTGCCAAACGATGTCAGAAGTAAGAGCTTTCGCCCTGAGTCATATAAAGACGGAGGAAGGGCAAATAAATAAAAGGGCAGCAGAAAATCGAGAGGTAGGGGTTGGCAATAAAGAGGATAACAAACATCTCTGGGCACGTTCTGATTGGAGTAAGTGATGGCATCCTTACTTGCATGAACTTGAGATGATCAATAAAGAATAGGACGCCTTATCCAAGGATCAAGTTCTTCAAAGGTGGCACAAGGTTTTAGGGTGGATGATGATGGAATGGACGAAAATGGAGGTTGGGTAGAAGGTGTTTGAGGAAATGCTTGAGAAGGGTACTCTAGGATTGGCTCACTTCATGATGATGAAGGTCACTTCTAAGGTTGTTTCTCTCAAGGTGGAGATGGGAGGGAGGTGGCCGAATTAGCCAAGGGTAACTAAAGAAAGATATAAAGGTACAAAAGGCTTTCTTTATATTCAATATTCAAAGTATTTACATGATGCATAGCCTAGGATATTTATAGGAGTGGGAGGCATCTAGGGTTGCATTGGCTGAAATTTACAATGCCAAATGCACACTAAATGAAACCCAAATTAACCCTAGATGCAACTTGGTGGCCAAGGATGGAATCTTTGAGTTTAGTTAGGCTACATCTAGGTGCATGATAAGACCATGCAACCTTTGCCCTCCACTTGGGCCTAAACCTTTCTAAGTCCAAAAATAGGTCCAAACACCACTAAAAATACGTCTAGTCTCCCTAATTAAATACCTTAGCCCAAAATTAAATAAACCTATGATCTAAAGCACCCCATAATACAAGGGTAAAATGGGAAATACAAAAGAAAATAAATCCTATGACTAAGATACCCCAAAATACAAGGGTAAAATGATAAATACAAGTAAAATAAATCATGTCTAAGATACCCAAAATACAAGGGTAAAATTGGAAATAAGAACAAATTCTATGCTAATAAAAACTTAGGAGTTAAGGCCCAAAAGTAGGCTCACTCCTCTTAGGGTTTTCAAAACTAACCTATTCCTCTTACCTCTTTCAAAATATCACCTCTTGGTCATCTTGGCCTTAATGTGATTCCATCAGTAAGCGAAGGGATCGTTACAATGTGAAGGAAGGTAACCATAGACAGACGGATTACGGTGGTAGGACAAGAGGTGAGTGGGCACGAAACAATGAGCAAGAAAAGTTCACTCCGCTCAATGTTTCTAGAAGGTAGATACTTCATGACGTCAATAGTGCATCATTCTTTGAGTTTCTGGCGGCGATAGACCGTCAATTGTGTACGTTCAAAATTGATTGGTGTGAATTTCACAAAACCCATGGGCATACTACTGAGAACTATTTCGTCCTAGGGAGACAAATTGAGCGTCTAATCAAGGAGGGACGTTTAAAAAAGTTCGTCGCGAAAAAACATGAGGAAGGCTCATCGAAAAAGCGACATAGGGATGCAGAAGATGGTACAAGGAGGGACAAATACAAAGAAAGGTCCCCCCCAGGGACCTTCCAGCAAAGGCTTCGGAAGTCCATCAACATGCTGTTCATGGGGATTTCAATACCGTGGCAGGGGGATTCGCGGGAGGAGGCATCACCTCAGCTGCCTAGAAGAGGTACACTCGCTCTGTGTTGTCCGTATCAGAAATTTGCCGACCTCCCCAACCTAAAATTAAGTTCTCAGATTCGGACTATGAAGGGGTATCTCCCCATGAGGATGATCCCATCGTCATATCGGTGATTGTAATGGGTTAGAATGTGAAGCGCGTGTTGGTCGATCAGGGGAGTTCGGCTGATATCCTCTTTTGGGAAGCCTTCGTGGGAATGAAAATTCCTAACGACCGACTTATACCTTATGCGGGAACCCTGGTAGGCTTTGCAGGAGACCAAATTGTTGCTAGGGGTTATGCCGATTTGGAGACAACCTTTGGCCAGGGCTCCCAGATGAAAACGGTGGTCATTCGGTATTTGGTAGTGAATGCTCAGTCATCTTACAACATCCTAGTCGGAAGGCCTACGCTAAATAAATTAGGGGCAGTAGTATCAACATCACACTTAAAAGTAAAGTATCCTTTGCCGAGTGGAAATGTGGGAGTCCTCAAAGTGGATCAAGAGGTCGCTCGAAAATG